CTATTCTATTCTATTCTATTCTATTCTATTCTATTCTATTCTATTCTGATTAAGTTGCTCACAGAATCACAGATTCACTTAGAGATCTGTGTTTCTGTAATCTTCTACCTGATTCTGTCACATAAAATTTGCTTGCAAGCAAACTAATAAAATCTTCTAGCAAGCAAACTCACAAAATTAACTCACAACACACCATGTATGTAAATATTGAATTTTTTTATTAAAAAAGAGCAACTTTTACCCAAAATCAGGCAAAGCAGGCAGGCAGATTGCGTTGCTCACAGAATCACAGATTCACTTAGAGATCTATGATTCTGCAATCTGCTACCTGAGTCTGCACTGAAAAATAGAAGCTTCAGTCCTAAGGAAGATTCAGCTCTGCTTTTAGATTAGCTAGAAAGCAAGGAATCCAACGATTTCCTGCTTTCTAGCTAATCTAAATCTCCCGGCACAGCAGAACAGCTGATAGTCGGGGAGGGGGGGGAAAGGGAAAAATAGCAACTTACCAAAAGCAGGTAAGTTTGATGGTGCACATGCCAGGTAAGGAGTGAGTGGGAGGGGCAGGGCAGGACTAGCCAATGGTGCGATTTGCCAGTTTTCCGAACTGGGTAGAATCTTAACAACCGGTTCTATAGAACCGGACCAACCAGGTAGGGTCCCATCCCTGGTCAGCTTCACTGGGCATCAGTCAATGCATGGATTTTGGGCTACAGCCCAGTTTTTTCCCAAGGAGACTACGGAGAAATATAGGTAATCTTTGATTTACAACAGTTCACTTTAGTGACTACTCAAAGCTACAACAGCAAGTGACTTATGACCCCTGGTCGCATGCTCAAAATTCAGACATTTGGCACATGACTCATATTTATGGCCGTCTTAGCATCCTGGGATCATGTGATCCCCGCTGGTAGCCTTCTTCTGGCAACCAAAGTCAAGATTCACTTCACAACAGAGGTGGTATTCAGCAGGTTCTGATCGGTTCTGGAGAACAGGCAGCGGAAATTTTGAGTAGTTTGGAGAACCGGCAAATAACACCTCTGACTGGCCCTGCCCCCATCTGTTCTCTGCCTCCCGAGTCCCAGCTGATTGGCTGGATCTTCCTTTGGTTGCCCTGCAGAGGAGAACGGAGCTGGAAAGCAGGTTAGTGGGTAGGGAAGGAATGGGGATTTTGCAGTATCCTTCCCCTGCCACGCCCACCAAGCCATACCCACCAAGCCACGCCCACAGAACCTGTAGTTAAAAAAGTTTGAATCCCACTACTGCTTCACAACTGCAGTGATTCACTTAACAACTGCGGCAAGAAAGGTTGTAAAACGGGGCAAAGCTCATTTAACAAATGTCCCACTTAACAACAGAAATGTGGGGCTCGAAATTTCAAAGCCGAGAGGTAAATTGGGATTTTAAAACGTAGGAAGCAGCCTCCCTTGTTTCCTTTTGGATCGAGGGGGGCTCTCGCCACAGCCAGTGGCAGCCATTTTGTGAGAGCTTTTTCCAGTAGTTGTCCAAATCCCAAAGAGGGGGGGGGGAGGTGCCTTCTCCCACCACCCACCCCGTTTTTGCCTGCTGCCACCATAAGGACGCCCAATGGCGACTAACCTGCCAATGAAGCAAGCTCAGAGATCAGCAAAAGTTCTGTCAACTGTCTTTGCCCATTTTATCTCCTCTTGCAACGCTGGGGCCAGCTGGACCCCCTTAAGAATGGCCAGTCTAGAAGCAGACCTGCTCTGAAGGAATCCCAGCCCACCCTTTTCTGCTGCCCGCTCCCCCGTGTCCTGCTTCATGTTAAAATAGGGAAGGGGGGGATGTCCAGCACCCTCCGTCAATCCTTGACCTTCCGTGTCCCTATCAAGAAAAGAAACCAGTCTCTTTGAACCAGTATAACATAGAATGGCCACCCTGTTCATTTAAAGAGAAGGAAAGAAACCATGAAAATTCCATTTTCTGAAAGCTCATGCTAAATGATTCCACTTAAGTGTTGTTTTCAATCAGGGGTGGTATTCTACCGGTTTGGCCCGGTTCAGCTGAACCAGTAGCTCCGAGGATCATCTGTGAGCAAACTGGTTTGCTCCGACAATCAGCTCCTGGGCCCATCTGCCAGCCCCAGCTCTAGTCTGACCTTTATTTCCTGGTTTTGAAGCTCAGCTGCTTCGCGCAGCACATCTGATTGCTGCACGTCAGCTGTTGAACACATAGAGAGAATGCAGGATTGCAGGAGAAGGTCAGTGTCAACCCTCTGCGCACGTGCAAAGTGCGCCCACCAAGCCATGCCCACAGAACTGGGGGGGGGGGGGAGTTGAATCCCACCACTGGTTTCAATGCAGGTAGCATGAGCCATTCTCAACCCAAAGTCAGGATTCTGACAATACACCCCCATTCAAATCATAAGTCTCTAGCCGCATCTCTCAGAGTAAACAAAATTGATTTATTAGGAGTGACCATGTCAGTGTTACCTGGGTGCAGCTGACACTAAGACACATCATTCATTTCCCCCTTGACCCTGGTCTTCCCCCCACCCCCTGGATGTATATTCTCCAATGGGACACATCCATAGCCAAGAGTCATCAATCATGCTCTCCAGTAATAATCTTGCGCGCCATCAGCTTCAGCCACCTAGCAATTATCTGAAGCATTTAAGGAATGCGCTACTTTCCCCACTCCCTTTCTGCTGGCAACTAAAAAGACCAAAGAAATATTTTTTAGTTGACACCCAACCCAGTGTCTTCCTGGTGCATGGCTTACTTGTGGGCTCAAACCTAGGATTCTTGTAGGAACTTCTTAGCAGAAAGTTGTTGGTGGTGCTACTACCCATCTCCCTGACTTGGTCCATCGGCCATGTTGGCTTGAAGGGGAAGGAGGTAAGATACACACCCACTTTTTTTTTGTTTTTTTGAGGCACCTGTGTCTTTGTAAGTTTCTCCAAACAGAGGAGAGTGCTCCAAACTTCCCAACTCTGGTGATCCTAGATGATGACCTTGCAGGACAAGCCAAGTATTGGAAGCTGTAAGTACTCCGTAGATGACCCCTTATTGTGTTTTGTGTGCAGAAAACCTCTCAGAGCCAATCCTTTCGCCGTCGGAATCTTATGTGGCCGAGAAGAAACGTTTCACACTGAATTGTAGTACCATCAATAGTTCCACGGTCACCGTCACCTGGTCCAAAGACAGTAAACCTTTCCCAACAAATGTAAAATTTGACCATGAAAACCGAACCCTCACACTGCTTGAATTCCAACAACCGGATGCGGGGACCTATACATGTACGGCCCAGAACCCTTTCAGCAAAGCCACAAGCAACCCCAGCACACTTACACTGGCATGTAAGTAATCTCCTCTTTGACGGGGCCTTTCTTCCTGCTTCATGGTGGAGATATGGCTACCAGAGTTTTCTTTCCCATCTCTAAAATGAAAAATATGGGGATTCTTACTTGACGAGAGGTGAGCCCCCTTCCTCCAAACCTTCTTGGAAGACAGCTGAAGAAGAACTTGCAAGGTGGGAAGGACCTCTGCAGAAACTCAAGGCAACCTTCTCAGATGCTGAGATGGAACCCCACCACCAAAATTCATGTTGGAAATCACCATAAGCCCCATTCCTGACCCCCCCCCCAAGAGTGCCCTTGCTGATTTGTGGGGTGGGGGTACGTTCCTCCTGCTTCCCAGCTAGGCCTTCTTCTCTTCCACCCCTTTGCCTGATTCTGCCTCCTTTCCTTTCCAGACGGGCCCAAGTCTGTTCAGTTGAACCAGTCAGGAACCATAGAGCAGCCCCTGGGTTCCGAACTGGTTCTGCTGTGTTCTGCTGAATCCGTGCCTCCAGCCAAGTTTGAGTGGTTCTTCAATAACACGGTCAAGAATGGGATGGAGAACACACTCAATGTTCCCTTGAAGGATTGGGAGGATGAAGGCAATTACACCTGCCGGGCTACAAACCCCTTCACCAAACACACCACTTCGGCCGCTGTCTATGTGAAGTTGACAGGTGAGAAGTCCAGTTTCTTGGAATTGATCACCCGTCCATGATCCTTTCTGAAGTTCTTCACGCATCCGAGTTCCTCTTGGGTCAGATGATTTGGGGCTGGAGATTATATCCTGGGAAAGATAGTATAGCAGTGTGAATCCAGGTTTATATTTTCTATCGTTCCAGATAACCCTATAATGAACCGAGTACCTTTATGAACAGAAATCTTGGTGTGGAGAACGAGGCTCCACAAAGAGAATCCATTAATAAAATGTGTTTATAGTTTCAAGATGGGAGTCATTTGTTTCTATAGAGTCTAGACTGATATTTTTCAACCTTGGGCACTTTAAGTGGTGTCGACTTCAACTCCCAGAATTCAACTCCCAGAGTTAAAGTCCACACCGCTTAAAGTGCCTAAGGTTGAGAAAGACTGCTCTTAAGAGCAGGTTTTAGGACTGAATTAATTTTATATTGGCATGACATGGATTTTATATTTGGCTTTATTTTCTGTTTAATCTTTCCCTCCCTTAAGTTCAGCATGTTTTAATCACTGCAATGTATTGTTAAAGGAGATTCAGGATAGTCTCTGTTGCTAAAAAATCTGGAAGAATCCTTTTCCATCTAACCATTTTCAATGCAATAAAAGGCAGAAAGCCTTTTAAAAATGATATGTTGTATTTTTTAAAATGCATTCATCGGAAACGGTGCTACTAAACCCCTCCTGTAATATATGTAGTTTCTTTATTACGGTGTTATTGATGCTTTATTTTTGTTCTCTACACTTCACTGCATTGCAAATAATGTGCAATTCATGCTTTGCCCTTCAAACCTTCCCAGTTGACAAGAAACCGCATTTAGGGGACAATATGATAGGAAAAATTAATTGTCAGAAATTCCAGATGCAGTAATGGAACAAAACAGTGGGTGAGATAAACGTTTTTCATTTCTCTCTGCCAACCTCGGCAGGCTAGTTAAAGCAAAGAAGAACAAATAAGAAAAGCTAAGTAAATAAAATTGTGCTTGGATGGTTTTTGATTTGCAAAGCTACTCTGTCACTGCACACATCTTGCAACATAGCAAAATTAACCTTCTAATTCTCTGCGGGGGTCAGGAGTACCAATTCAAGGCCTTTATCTTTACTGCTGAATAAAATATTGGAACAACTTTCTCTCAAAATAAGTTTTTGCACCATGGGTTATGTTCTGAACTGGACTATAGGGAGTTTGTGGTGTGTTGTCAGGGAGAACTTTGGTTGAGAAGATGTGAGAAAGGTGTCTTTTGGGGTAATATGCATATAATTGGGGGACACGGTGACTCAGTGGCTAAGACGCTGAGGTTATCGACCAGAAAGGTCGGCAGTTTGGCGGTTCGAATCCCTAGCACCATATAATGGAGTGAGCTTCCATTACTTGTCCCAGCTTCTGCCAACCTAGCAGTTCGAAAGCATGTAAAAAATGCAAGTAGAAAAATAGGGACCCCTTTGGTGGGAAGGGAACAGCATTCCGTGCGACTTTGGTGTTTAGTCATGCCGGACACATGACCACGGAGACCACGGAGCGCTGGCTTTTCGGCTTTGTAACAGAGATGAGAAACAACTAGCACATATGTGCAAGGAGGGGAACCTTTACCTTTATGCATATAATACCTGTTATATTGCATATGTATTTGGGGTTCTCTGGGAGTTGGTTTTTTCCAATCAATCTTGCTGTGACTTTTAAGAATTGGGCTATCAGGAGCCACAGTGGTGCTGTGGAGGGGATAGAATCATAGAATCCTATGGCTGGAAGGACCTTGGAGGTCTTGTAGTCCAACCTCCTTCCCACGGCAGGAAACCATGGCAGGAGATGCTACCATGCTCTTCTTTTCTTCATCCTTTCCTAGGGTTTGTGATCTGCTTCCTAACAAGGGAACATCTATGGAGATTCTCAGTCATCCAAGTCGTGGTTGTCCCAAAGGTGCTTTTTCAAAAGGCAACTGGACTTGCGTCGTTTTTCCTTGAAGATCTTTCGCTTCTCATCTGAGAAGCTTCTTCAGTTCTTAAGAGGAAAAGCGAAACGTCTTCAAGGAAAAACAAAGTAAATAAGGAGAGTGATAGCAGCACCCAGCCAACCTTGGTTGATCTTGAAATGCTCAGCAAGGTTTTACCCGGTTACTAACAGAATAACAAAGTTGGAAAGGATCTTGGAAGTCTTCTAGTCAGGGGTCTTCAACTTTGGCAACTTTAAGACTTGTGGACTTCAACTCCCAGAATTCCTAGCCAGCTTTGCTTAAGTCTTGAAGTTGCCAAGGTTGGGGGCCCCTATTTTAGTCTGACTCCTTGCCCAAATGGGGGTTAAGATAAGAACCAAGTTTCAAGTCCATCTTGAACCTGAACACTCGGTGGGTGACTCTGGGCCATTTCCTCTCTTGGTAAAATTTACCTCACAGGACTGTTGTTGTGGGGATAATGTTAAAAGAGACTACACAATTTGCATCCTGCTAATTTATTCTTTCATAGATATTTCATTACTAACTTCCTCAGTATCTTCAACCTTGACAGAACTTCTGATGTACGATCTTTACTTGAATGGTTGTGATAGGTTCAGAGATGCATTTGCCTGGGAAAGAGCTAGTGTTGAATTGTATAGCACAGCGTCAGACCAGGAAATATTTTACGACACATTTGTATTAGGTGTCAGGCATGAAATATCTGATCTAGATGTGAAGGTCCAATTATACGGATGTTTTTACTAAACAGCTTATGCACATGAGTATTCTTAACTAAAGGTTAGCCTGATTTTGACATCAGATAAGGGTTAAAGGAATTCAAGAGAATTAGATCAGCCTATTTGTGGCTGCATAGAGATGCTAGGTTGATTCCTCTCTTGACTCCACCCCTTGGTTCTGCCACTTCTTCTCCTACCTTTTGTCATAAATTGTTTGGTGATCATTTTATGTTATAAAATATTTTATAAAATTTTAATACCATAAGAATCATGAGTTCCAAAGTTTGGATGTATTCTGTAAATGAGCTTATTTGAGGTAGCTTGAATCAAAACAACAGATTATACAGATTAACCGAGTTTGAAGGGACCTTGTAGGTCATCTAGCCCAACCCCCGTCCAAGCAGACACTACACCATTTTTGTTAGATGTCAGTCCAGTCTTTTCTTGAAATTCTCAAGTGATGAAGCTTCCACAACTTTCGAAGGCAAGCTGATTAGTTGATGGTTCTCACTGTGAGAAAATGTCTCCTTATTCCCAGGTTGAATCTCTCCTTGTTCAGTTTCCATCCATTATTTATTTGTCCTGTGATTTGCCCAGCTTTGCCCAGTTAAAGCTTACAGGAAAGGGAGCTTTAGTAGCATATAGATATTAAATGCTTTTTCACTTGCACCGTGGAAATCTTTGTTGTGTTGTTTTAGCACTACCAATTGATAAGCATTTGCGAATCTAGACTGTAAACTTTTATATAAGGTTGTCATGGCATTCCTTCTCTCCTCCATACCCAAGTGTTCACTGAGATTGTTTTGAGCACGTATGGCAAAAGCCATCATTCTCCACGTTATCCCCTGCGGTGTCACACCTTCTACTTGTGTGTCAGTGTTCAGAAGCTGAATCAGGTGTGGGAAGCTGAGGTGACAAGCTGTTTTTTTTGACACACGGGATTGTGTCAGCATCCACAGCTTTTGATATTATTCTTTCTCCTACCAAGGCAATGTTTCCCAACCTTGATCATTTCTGGAGAGGTCCACTTCAACTCTCAGAATTCCACTGCCAGCATGGCTGCTGATAAGAATTCTGGCAGTTGAAGTCCATATCCCTAAAAATAGCCAAGCTTGGGAAACAGTATACAGTACTAGGGAAATGTCTATTCTTAAAGGTGCAAAGGGCTACAGCTCCACTGAAATTTTCATGACAGTGAGAACAATTAACCAGGGGAGCAACTTGCCTTCAGAAGTTGTAGGTACTCCATCACTGGAGGTTTTTTAAGAAGAGATTGGACAACCATTTATCTGAAATGCTACAGGGCAGAGGTCTCCAAACTTGGCAACTTTAAGACTTGTGGCTGGAGAATCCTGGGAGTTGAATTCCACAAGACTTAAAGTGGTCAAGTTTGGAGACCTTTGATATAGGGTCTCCTGCTGGTTGGACTAGAAGACCTCCAAGGTCCTTCCCAACTCTTGTTATTCTGTTGGGTTCCCATCTTAGCTTCATGTTCAGAAGATACAAAATTGTACAGAGTAATATTTTACCTGTAAATGACTTTTCCTGTTTTAATTGCAATAATACATGTGCAAAACAACCATTTTAAACTCAGCGTAAACCATTCTAAACTTGACTGTAAAGAAATATGATTTTTGTAATAGATTTGTCAAAGTCTGGAATGCTCTACCTGATTCAGTTGTCTCAGCTACACGTTTTCACAGTTTTAGTCACAAATTGACATCCGTGGAGCTCACTTCATATCGTCCCTGTCATTTTATTTTTTATATTATTTGTGTTTTTGTTTCTGTTTGGCAAATTATAAATAAATAAAATCAATAGATAAAAAAATACCAGGCATAGGGTAGGACTTCCACTGAAATCGAACCCCCAACTTTCCCAACGCGAGGCGATTAGCTTCACCACGAGGCCACCACACCTATTTGCCTCAGATCTTGCTTAATGTCAGCTGGATTCAAAATCCAAGAAAGAAAACCTTAGACTTCATTTAAAATAGAGAAAAGTACTTTTACTGGCTATGAAGAGATAGCAGCAAAAGAAAGGCAAGATCTGAGGCAAATAGGCGCAGAAATTACATATTAAAAGTTATCCCAAGTCCCCTCCCCCAACAGTTCAAACTGGACATCCACTCTGAGGGTTGTATAATGTCAAGTGGGTGACATCTTCAGGTGGCGTCTCACACATCTGGTATGCCAAGACGGTTGGCCTTGGCCTAGGGAAGATAAGTGGCTGCATTTGCACAGAAAGCAGGAAAGCGTCACATCTTTTACAGTTCACACAACTTCAACCTCCAGCAGCCCTTTCCCCAAGAAGCCCAAATTATCCATCTCCCCATTTCCATGGCAGCCGGCAAGAGTCAAGCAGTAAAAGATGCCAGGAAGAATTCTTGGAGGCTGACATTCTGCCCTCCTGCAAAAGAGGCGTTAGACCTCGGAAAAGAGAAGATAGGAAAATAACAGGAAAATGAACATTCCAGATAAAGCTAAATATACAAAAGTACATCAAGGTTTGTCAGGATATTTAGAGCGAAAAGCTGGTACAAGTTTAGGGGCCCTGACATCACGGTCATTTACCCATTCCGACTGAGAAGGAGTAAAAATGTTTCCAAACAACTAAATATTGGAGTCTTCCTTTCTGTTTCCTTCACATGTCTTCTCTGACAGATGAGAGTTCGATACAGTCCCGTATGTCGCCTGCAGCCATTGCTGGAACAACTATCGGTACTGTGGCTGGCGTGGTGCTTTGCGTGATCGTTGTGTACTTCCTGTGCACCAAGGCTACCTGTTGGTAAGTCCCCCACCGAGTCGACGTTCCCAATTGGGTGCATCCTCTTATCGAACTTCTCTGGGTCCTTCTTCCTCTGGGTGCCCGGTTTCACTTAACTTTGGACTTGCACTCTAACGGTCTGGTGGCACCAATCTCACCAATGGTTGTTTTCTTTCCTCCTTCTTCACCTTGGATCAGAATCTCTCCCGGTACAATCTTTTGGAAGCTCTTAAGGGGGCAAATGGCAGGGCACAACAGTTCTAATATGCACTCACAGCCCACAATGAGTCCCAAACAGTTGATGAATAGCCCAAAAGAAGTCTGCCGCAGTCTTTCGGGATAAGGCTGATAAGCACTCACCTTTATCTCCCTTGAAATGCTGCCAATGACTAAATTGCCAATTAGCTGTACAAGGCGAAACGGAGCACAAAGTCAACACGAAGCTTCAGAGTTTAAACCGACTGGAATGAACAAAGTTGCTTCCTGCAAAGGCTCATGTCCCTTTGCTCCCCCTTGATGTCTTATGGGAGGGGCCAATTATCTCCAAGCCTTACTCCCGAGTCACCTCTTTTGTCTTAACTGTTCTTGCCTTCTGGCAGCTCTGTGCAAGCGTGCACTGGGAACAGGCTCCCTCTGTTCCTCTGCCTCGCTGATGTCAGATTCTGGAGGCTCTGGAGTCAGCCTATGACTCTCAGATGGCCCCATCTCTGTGTCAGATGCAAATCCCTTGTCTGAGCCCTCCCCAGACTCCAGGACTGGCCCATGCTCCACAGGCCACTGGCGGACCACAACCATGGGATCCACTAAGGAACAGAGCAGGTATCCACATCCCAGTATCCCTGGTAGATCTGGGATTAGATTCAGTGCCCATTGCTGGATCTAATACTTCTAACAGACCGGAGCACAATGGGCCATAAGAACAGACTAACCTCAACTGGACACATCAACGTTGCAATTTCTGAGGCCTTCCAGGTATGTGGAGCTATAATCCCCATGGATGAGCCAACAGGTGTGCTGGCTGGGGATGCTGGGAGTTATAGTCCCAGTTAATCTTTGGGAAAGACCAGAGTCTTTCCTGATGTCTTAACTATTATAAAAGGTCAAGACATTGGATTCCTGGGGAGTTAAGCAGTTTGCATAGAATTTATGAATCATGTTTTTTTAAAAAAATAATATTAGTAATTATAATATTTGAAAGAGCCTAACTGGAAAGAAAAGGCTTGAAGGTCAAATTAGGGGAGAAATATAAGGGAGGGTGCCAAAATGACCATTTGGGATATTGGCAAGGAAATAGCGACCAAACATTTTATTCACACCAATCTTCTGCCGTGCAGATAAGTAAAGGCTGGCTGTGAGGGCTGGGAATTATGGGAGTTGTAGTTACAGCACATCTGGAGGGCACCTAGGTGGGACCAGAATTCCCAACCCACATGGCCGTCCAACTTATCTGTCGTTTAAATATTGCATCCCATCGGTTTGAGCTTCAAACCAATGTCAGAGAAATTTCTTTGAAAAAAAAATTGGCCTTTCTCTGTAAGTTGCAGCCCACAATTCAGGTACTCCTCAATTTATTATCATTCATTTAGCATCTGTCCTCACACTTATGACCATCACAACGTCCCCGTAGCCATGTGTTCGAGATCTGTGGTCATGCGATCGATGGTGACAGCATCCAGGGGTCTTGTGACCATAATTTGCTACCTTCCCAGTTGGTTTCTGACAAGCAAAGTCGATGAGGAAGCTGGTAGGGAAGGTTGCAAATCACGATCACATGATGCCTCGCTTAATGACCGGAGGGGGCCAGTGGCCAACAGGGCAAAATGCAAGCTCAGTGTCTGCAGGGAAGCTTCAAACTGGCAAGATGGCAGAGGCATGCCCGTATACCAAAGCATCAGTTGTTCCATCACAATCCTGCTTCTGCCCTCTTGACCTTTTGGACTCCTTCCATGCAGAAGCTTCCTTTGCAAATACAGATGCCATAAAAGTAGGACAAAATGAAAAGTGGTGTAGATAAACAGCCAGGAAGGGTTGAATTTCTAAGAATTGGGGGAGGGACAGGGGTGGGATTCTACCAGTACGCACCTATTTGCTAGAACCGGTTGTTAACATTCTAAGCAGTTCGGAGAACCGGTTGTTAGAAGAAATTCCTGGTCTAATCCTGTAAGGAAGGCAGGAAGGAAACATTCTGATGTTGCTTACAGAAACTGCCTCTCAGTTAACCCTTATTACATTCTTGGCAGGACTAGACTTCCTGTCTCAGGAATGGAGTTTTTTTCCCTCCTTTGCTGGTACTTTGCTTGTGTGGAGTGACCATTCAAAGTTACGATGGCACTGAAAAAAGTGACTTATGACCATTTTTCACACTTACGACTGTTGCAGCATCCCCACAGTCATGAGAAGCCAGGCGAGGAGATGCATGCCTCGATGTGAGTGATGTTGAGTTGGCCATGCCCAGCCAATGACATGACCACCAAGCCACACCCACCACCTAAGCCACGCCCACAGAACCGGTTGTTAAAAATTTGAATCCCACCCCTGGGGAGGGAAGGTTAGTAGTGCAGGACCCCAAATAACTTGCTGCCTGTGTCGGGAAATGGATCCCCACTTCGTTTGGGGGTCACACATATCTGCTGTTTATTTAGGAAGAAGGAACAGCACGCATCCAATGGAAACATACCCTCGGCACCCGGCCACAGTAAGTATCAGCCCTTGGGCCGGGCCGGGATCTGTGTGACGCATGCCTGTATTTGTGATACGGTCTCCCCGCTACTAACACGTCGCCTCACGGTTTAGGAGAGCCTCTCTAACCCTGGAGAAAAGGTGGAGGAGATTTTCCTGCATTCTTTAGAGCAGGGGTCTCCAAGCTTGGCAACTTTAAGACTTGTGGACTTCAACTCCCAGAGTTCCTTCTGGGAGTTGAAGTCCACAAGTCTTAAAGTTGCCAGGGTTGGAGACCTCTGTTCTAGCCTGACTTCTTGCCCAAACAGGGGTTAAGATATGAACCAAGTTTCAAGTCCATCATGAACCTGAACACTTGGTGGGTGACTCTGGGTCATTTCCTCTCTTGGTCAAACTTACCTCACAGGACTGTTGTTGTGGGGGTAATGTTAAAAGAGAGGCTGGAGAATTCTGGGACTTGAAGTCCACAAGTCTTAAAGTTGCTAAGGTTGGAGACCCCTGGCTGGCTGGGGAATTCTGGGAGTTGACATCCACACCTCTTAAAATGCCAATGGTTGAGAAACACTCCTGTAGATTTGGAGCATAGAAGAACAGGTTTCTCCATCCACAGCCCCAATGCATCCTGGGGAAATTCCTGCATGACTGGGGGATTCTGGGAGTTGGAGTCCATGCGTTTTTAAATGGTGGCAGTTGAGAAATACTGCTTGAAAAGCCAGAGTGTAGGAACGTAGGTGTCTCCATCCACAGCCCAAATGCATCCTGGGAAATTACTGCATGTTCTTTAGGTACGGGGTGGGCTTTTTCCCAGCTGGTCTGGCTCCCATTTCCATCCCTGATTTTACTCCAGGCATCTTGGTTTCTGGAAAAAGCTACTGCTTTTCTTGAGGCTCAACTCTCTTCTTCTCCCCTGTCATTCTGTGGTTTTCCCTCTGTCCTCAATTAGCCCTAAAACCAGAATCACCTGGGATTTCTGCTGCTATATTACATTTAGCTTTCATGGGGGGCGGTGGGCTGAATGGGTGAAACCCCCATAGCTCCCCAGAGGTGGTGAGATTAGGCCAGATGGTCATTTGGAGAAATGGTTCTTCGTCTCCGTTGAGCTTCTGCTACATGGATACAAGCATGAAGAAGGCATGTGGGGTGGGGGGAAGCTGTTGGCCTCTTTGTTCTACCCCTGCATTGGCTTGGATGGTCCGGACCTGGATTCAGGTAGGAAGGGAAGGTAGGTGAGTTGAACCATGGGAGATTTCCCATTCTAGAAATCTCCAGTCCCTTTTGTCAAACCAACAATGATCTTCCGTTGATCTCCCATGATCTGGAAGTTCTTTTAAGAGTTTCATATGGAAGGACCATTCAACAGAAGCGAATCTGATGCTTGGGATTGAATGGTGGACTTCTCGATGCCCTCTGAGGTTGATGATCTTCTTGTTTCATGACCCAACTCTACCCAGGAACCACCAAGTTTAAGAGAGCATCAAGAACTCCACCAGAAGGGACTTGGACCATCATGGCTCTTCCTTCCCTGGCCTTTAGTTGGACATAATAATCCAGAAAACAAAATAAGAATTTAGTTGGAGATCACCTTGGCACGGAGAGGAGAAACTTGATGTTTTCCCCATGCCCTGCCATGTCCCTTAAATCAGGAGAGACTTCCTTGCCCAGCATGTGTGGTTTCAGACAAGAATCCACGCCTGTAGGTGTGTATTACGGGCATGGATGCAATTTTGTTTATTCCAGTTCCCTGATTGTTTTTCTCTCTGTGTGTCCTATTTGTCTCTGTCATTTCAGACCAGGCCACTGATACCAAGTCCAAACCGGTAAGAATGGAATACTTATAATTTCTATCATGTCCGGATTTCAAGGTGGAAAGAAGGTCAATTAGAAAACTGGAAATATTGGGATCTAACTTTAAAATCCATTTTCAATATTGAGAGAGAGTGAGAGTGAGAGAGGGAGAGAGAGAGAGAGAGAGAGAGAGATGAAGGGCCAGTTTAAGAATGGCCCACTATTTCATTCATGCTACCTTTCTTCCATGGCAGTTTGTTCTACAGACTTCAGCAAGAAATCATACAGGGAGTCCTCAAGTTATACCCATTTGTTTAACGATAGTTCAAAGTTACGACAACCTTGGAAAAAGTTAACGACCATCATAAAAATTATCATAAAATCCGGCCTGATTCAACTTAAAGACCACAATCACGACTGAAAGTCTAGGGATGGTCAAAGGATTGCCTGTGCATATCTCCAGATTATTTGAAAACCAAATAAAACAAAAGCCCAATAAGAACTTGCTGTATTCTGTAGACCAAGTTGCTACGAAGGGGCATCATATTATTGTATTATTATTATATCGTTAATATCAATTATTCCCTGGGTCATCATAACCTTCATGGATTCTAAAGACTCAGGAACCCAAGCAGTTCTCCCCAAGGTGAGTAAAGTATAGTGCCAGTTCAGACAATCAAGAGGGCCCTTTATTTTTTGACTCATGGGTAAGTTTGGGTAAGTTAAATATTTCTGTAGTATAGTCAGTTGTTGGCCACCAAGAAGAGTTTTAAGAAAACCAGATTCAGTTGTGAAACAAAACCCTTGCAGAGAATTTCCAAAGCTGTTGCAGGGAAAAAAAACTGTTAGGAAACTATATAGATATTTCTAGTGCCAGTTTTCTGGGCCCCTACAAGTGCAGGAAGAGTTGCCACTTTCTTTTTGGGTTCCAGTGCTTTTAACTTGGCACAAGTATTGGAGGCGTGATGATGCTTAAAATGAGCAGAATCCAAGCAGAACGACCATAACACCTCTAGAGAAAACAGGGGCAAGAGGCAAAAAGAATTCAAATAGAAAAGCATGAGTATTTAAATCATAGCTTGACAAATTACATGTTTTTGGGTGCGTATTCTAAAATGGACTTCTCGGGCTTCCCAAATCGTGTTGGAAGGGCGAAGTGGGTTTGCTGTGAAAACACTGAACTAACGTTTGCATGCCTTGTTTGGTATCTGTCTCCAAAGGCACATGTGGTTGTGTCATCGTTGCTATTCCTGTTTCTTGTTTCTTCCTTGGTGGAGAGCTGACGATGCAAGGCAGTTCTGCACAGATTTTCACCCTGAGGATTGAGAGAGAGAGAGAAAGAGGCAGAAACAGAGAGAGACAGAGAGGGGGAGGGAGAGGAAGAGAGACACAGAGAGAGAAAAATAGAGAGAAATGGGGAGAGGGAGAGAGAGAGAGACAGAGGAGGAAGAGAGACAGAGATACAGAGAGATACAGAAAGACAGACAGAGACAGAGACAGAGAGATACAGAGAAAGAGAGAGAGACAGAGAGTTAGTTGTCTGTGTCTCTATTGTTCTATGTCCTGCGTTCTAATCTTTCCTTCTCTTCCCCTTCCCATCCGCTGTCCTCTTTTACAGGGTGAAGAAGACATACAATATTCAACACTAGCTTTCAACACAAAAAACACTTCTCAGCCACTCTCAAAATCCCCCCGGCCTTTGGACAGCGGGATCATTTATTCTGAAATCAAGAAAAAATGATTGTGGATTGGTCTTTCTCTGGGAGAGGTTATTTAACCCAGAAGCTTTCCCTCCAACCCTTCTGCTTCCTTCCTCTTTCGGCTGGATTCCGGTGGCGAGCTTTTCTGGGGAAGAAGGGAAGGATAAAAAAGATCTTCTCCCAAAAGGAAGGGGAAGAAAACCCTTCCCACGTGATCCATTACTGTTCAGGTGCCACCCAGCCTCTCAAAAGTTGGGTGCAAAACAGCAACGACCACCGAGTTTCTCTCCAGGATGTAATGAAAGGGCTGGCAGCCTCGTGGGAGAGCCGGCGCATGCATTTTTATCATGTGTGCAGCAGGGAGACTGTTTCACCCCTCTGAACAGGGCAGGAGGTTGCATTTTCATTCTCATTGGCCTTCCCTCCCATTCTCGTCCTCTCTGTGATTCCTGAGTGTGCCAAAACGGTTCCTTCTTTTTTTTGTTTGTTGTTTTGTTTTGCAAACTTGAGTTTGGTGTTGCCAGCCAGCTGTGGCTCCTACCCTCCTGGGCTTTTCGTGCCACGTGGAAAACAAAAAAAATATTTTTTTTTTAAAGGTCTCGTTGCCTCGGGAAAGCATATGATGTGCTGCTGGTCTTCGCTGTTTTTTAGAAGCCAGAAGACCTGATTTTCCCCAGCCAGATCTCTGCTCCTTCTATCTAGATCCTCAAATATCCCTTTGCAATTTTTAAATCAATAGGTAGATCAATTGGGCCTCTGTTCCTGGAGGTTGCGGTGCGAGGTGGTAACGACAAAGGGCATTGTGATTTTCCTTCTGGAACCGTCCTTGTTTTTTTCCAGATCAGCTACACAAATCAGAAGACACAAACAAACGAAGAACAGTCAAAGAGCCAGAGAGTGACGTGAGCAATGAGGTCCCTGTTTGAAAAATTACTTTTCCCAGGTTTCTTTTTTTTCTCCAGCAAACTGGCATTTGCTGGGCAGGAGGGAAGGAAAAGGGTAAGCACCGGACAGAGGTTTAATTCTCCCAGTGAGGTTTTCCAGAACTCTTGAGCGCCAGATGAAAATGTCTTCGGGGGTTTGTTGACAATTCCAGAACTTTGGATGAACTTCCTGCAAAAAATCAAATCAAACGTTTATTGTCAATGCACTACACGTGTACAATGAACTTGAAAAACCTTGGAGCACCATCTCTTTGGGCCGGTCCCAGCTCTTCAGACAGACTTCTTCCCTCTTGGTAGGACAGTTTGGGATGTTGCATGGAGCTACCATGAGAAGAAGCTTTTCAAATGACCTGCCAGCGTAGGAGAATTGTAAATACAGGGCTCAAAAGTTTAGATTAACTTCCCCCACTGCCGAAAAAATGCTTGAGCTGGGCAGAAAGGAAGCCAGCCTCATTGAAGGCAACCAAGCATGGAGAGAAGGTGTGTTTAGCCAAGGGAGTCTCCTCATTTTGGAGAAAAAAGCAACTGCCTTTACTAACAGTTAAGCAGTCTGCCTGCTTCAATTAAATGGTATTAGAATTAGCCAGTCTGTCTTGCCTCCAAATGCAAAGCCATTTAAGTTCTGGAGCAGGAGAGAAGAAAAAATGTATTTTTTTTAATATCTGCTGCTTGGTGTTAGGACAGCCACTTCAGTCCCTCCACTCCTTCTGCCTTCCCTGTTTCTTTCCTCCCCCCATCAGCTTCTCCCTTCCTGGCACGGTAGCATCTCATACAGCCTAGGCCTCACAACTAATTGTCAGGTGTGGCTGCACAGCCTTGGAGCAAGAGGACAATGGCACAGTGTTTTGGACTAAGGACGTCGCGTTTAACGTTCCCCGGTCTCCAAACGGAACCATCTATCATCCTATTTTTCTGGAAAGAGAAGAAGCTGCAAAGGAATTCCCATCAAGAGTCCTCGTGTTAATTGTCGTATTTGGCTTGGCAGGTGGTTTCGCCGTGGTTTTAAGCTGATCTTTTTTTCAATGGATGTGTCTGGATATCTTTTTTTTTTTTAATTTAAATAAAAAATAAATAAAACGGGAAAAAGAGGTGAGTTTGTATGTCATCAGCCCTTAAAAGAAAAAGAAAAAAATCGGAATTGCTCTCTGTTACAGGGGAGCCAACAATTGTTCATATCAAGTTTGTTGTTGCCTTGTAGGATTTGGGAAGGAGGCAATAAAGGAGAATATTTGTCATTTAGGGTTGAAATGAGGGGGTCCTTGGTGCTCTCTGAGCTGGGTTGTTTTCCGGCAGACGTTTCATGACCCAGCTAGGTAACATCATCAGTGCTAGAAGGGAGTGGGGTTTGCAGAGAGGAGGAGGAGGAGGA